TTTCCCCGGGCCGCTACTCCCCAGACACTGTTGTGCCTCGAGGATCCACCTTTCGCGAGAATGCGACCCTCGAAGGAGTCTTTACCTCCTTTGTCCTCCATCTTCCATGGACGAAGACTACACACGAGCTAGGCTTCGACCTCATTGTTACAGCCCGACCGCAAGATCCCTCCACATGTCCGCTACGGGCGGTTCGCACCCGTCTAGTGGTCAGTGCCGACCTCCCAGCTTCGGCACCTTTCTTCTCTTTCTCATCCTGCAGCGCACCGTCGGGTTACCACATCCTCACGAAGACAGCCTTCCTGACGCAGTGCACCGCCATATGGTCCCAACACTCACTGGATCACGTCCTCGGGCATAGCTTCCGCATCGGGGGAGCAGTCGAGTTACTACTCGCAGGAGTGCCGCCTGAAGTCGTAGCGGCTACTGGTGGTTGGACTTCTCTGGCCTTCCTCGCATATTGGCGCCGCATGGAGGACATACTACCTATGTCGACCTCCCGTGCCTACTCTGCCTCAAGCATATCACGACTGTCTAGTATTTTCGAAACTTTTCGTTCCACGCATCACTTGCACGACCCTTTAGATACCCACACTGCCTCATAGCTTGATGTATCCATTGCTCACTCACTGTTGTAACCACTGCACCATGTATTTGTACCATACCTCGCTGAAATACTACACCCTGATGTATTCTTCGCTTGAATTGTGTCAGACCGCTCGCTCTGATTGGGAGTCCTGACCTCTCGAGCGACTTCCGGCCTTGGAGCTCACGCTCTGATTGGTGGGACCTGGCCGTCACTCGACAGGTCTGTCCCCCCACTGACCAGGACAGAGTCCTTCGCGGTACCGCATACCTCAGACCCCTATCTTCTGTTGGACCCCTTTCGGTCTCTGATCACGTGATCTTTTCGGATCCTTCTGGACCCAAATCACGTGACCACTTCCAATAGGTGTCTGTCTGGTCATGTGGCCCCGCCTCGGACTCCGTCTTAGGCAAACCAACAGTATACTTAAGTAACTGTTAGGTTTCCCTTTCTCCTTTCCTCTTGTCCTTTCTCTTGTCACAAAGAGCTAGCTATCTTATCACATTCAACGATCTCAGGTCGTCAGGCGAGCCACCGGTCGCCGTTGTCGATCACGCTCTCACTGGTAATTATATCAAACGTGAACCGCAGGATGGTTAAACCTTGATTTATATATTTTTTGCATCCTCCCTATCCGAGATCTGAGATATCACGCCTCCCCATTTTTATGGCCTCAATGCAAGTCTCAGATCAGGACGGCTCGCTGATGGCCGATGGCACCCATAACCGCACCACGAGGTATCACACATTGTAACACAAACCCAAGTTAGTTCTTTATCGCCTTGTCCACGCCCACCATATATCGTTTTCGAGCAGCCCGCCTTGCGTCCACGATGGCCGCCGAGCGCGCCGTCAATGTTGCCGTTTCTTCATCGCCCACGCCTACCGACAATCCGCCTGCCAGCTCAGTTTTCTCCGTTACTGGCTATCTCTCCAATAATTTCCTCGCCCCTTCGCATCGCAATTTAAATGACTCAAAAGACGCTTTGCATCCTGAACGATACACCAATGAAGCATCGCGCTCGACTCTCCCTCCGCGTCCTCGTTATCCCTCAAGAATCAATCTTCTCACGCATCTCGGTCAACCACAACGTCACAACAAATCTCCCCGCAAAAGCAAGTCCACACACACAAGCGCGTCTCCGTTTACCAGAAAGTCTCCTTTCTCGAAGGTGCCTGTGCCTTCTATGGTGAAACCAGCAAGTCCGCCTAGTCTCACCGGCTTGTCGTATCTACGAGACGTTCATCGCACAGTGGCTCGCCATCCACACTTAACGATGGCGCGTGATGGAATGCCCGAACCCGCGACAATTGAACCGTCGAACCTGTTTTCGAGGCGTATTTCTTTACAGATACAGTACGATACGCGCACAACGTGGTGGGAACGGCGCCTTGTGAATCATGTTCCGTTCAGTCGCCGAGTCCGTTTCGTGGATGGCAACTCCGACCAACTGCCAGAAGATAGGGACGATGATGCTTTCAAACAAACTGATCGCGATTCGGACGAACACTCAACTACTGTATCCGAAGGTATTGGCATCCGCACAAGAGATAATGCCTTCTATAATCCCAGAAGCACACTGGAAGCCGGCTTCGATTCTCTGGGCAGTGCTTACGTTGCTTTGCCTCATCGCATGGCGGCGCCTCTGCTTCTGCCCTCTACTAGATTCCCTTCAGCAGCGGACGGCGAGTCTTTACACGCCGACACTTCGCTTTCTAATCACCACTTACTTCCAAGTTCAGTACATGTTGAGCGTCTACGCTCTGATTCCTTTGGATATAAGGGCATATCTTTCCAGAGAAAACAGGACGACATGAACACGAATGTGCTGACTATTGCTTTTGGTGAATTTGTCGACGTGTGTGAGCGCAATGGCGAAATCCCAGCTGCATTGAGCGGCGCTCTCGATGAGCACGCACCCCATCAATCGCTGTTAGAAGAGAGAAGCCTAGAATATCTTCTCAAGGATGTATGTCCTTTCTCGCTGTCCAGCGCTGACGACTTTTCTACCGGCCGGTCGTCGTCGCGTAGTCTGTTGCTTTTTGACTTTCCTTCGTTTATGTCCGGTGAGTTATCGTTATGGTCCTGGCCCATTCATGCAACCCCTCTTCGTCTATGCTACTCCGATTCGTATGTAATGACACTATGTTACATAGAACCCGACTATCTCTCTTCGGGCGTCTACCTTTCTGGCCCGGGCCCAAGTGGGCTGCTCGCTAAAAGTGCGTCAGGAAACCCCTCCATGCTGGCCGACAGTTCGGAAATGCTAGCCAAAGGGTTTTCATCGCTGCCTGGAACGCCCTCCGAGTTGTCCAAAAAATCCACTGCAGCACCAGATAAGCCTTTTATGACACTCGTAGAATCGACTAAGGCGTCAGAAGGTCCTGCCCTCCCCGCAAGCACATCGATGCAGTCGTATGGCAGCGTGCCGGTGCTGTGCGACTCGCGCACCTACGGGTCGTTCCTTACCTCTGTTTCTCAGTGGTCGTGGGACTTCCACCCCACTGCAGTAGCACTTGCGGACGAGAACAGCGATGATCAGGTGCTTTCATATGAGGAGGACGTGTCGCGTGACGAAAACATGCGGCATGAGCAAAACGTGCTCGACATATCCCATGTCTACCGTTCAGAGCAGGAGTCACACGACTTGCTGCGTGCTCCCGTGTCCTCGCAATGGTATATGGCGGACGACTCCTGGATGCTCAGCGCACCGCCTTCCGAAGACCGTTTCAGCGCTCTCGAACCATCGCCAAGTGCTGCGGAATTTCTACGCCGGCCAGACGATACAGGTGAAGAAGAGAATTCGGCATCCGTCTGGTCGCATTTTGGCCAGCCAGGCGAGGAGGACGTGGACGATGCTTACGACGGTGACATTTTTGAAGAGGGAGAGGAGGAGGAGGGGGAGCGAGAAGACAGCGTGGACAATAATGATTACGAAGATCCAGATGTGGCTTCTGCCGGACAGAAGCGTATCCTATCTATTGCATCATTCCTTTCAATCGACCTGGATGATCCTCAGTGGCTTTACACTTCGGCATCACAAGGCTCTGTCGCGTGGCGAGAGCTGAGCACGGAGGACGATGACGGTGAGTTCGTCTTGTTTTGCTTGCTGTGTACAACATTCTTCTCAGACTCCGATTCAGACAATGATAAATCGCCGATCCCTGCCCGCCTGATCGACGATGCATTTTCTTGCCAATCGCCGTACGTTGATTCGCCCGGCAGTTCGCACTCATATTTTGTCTCTACTGCTACTGGCGATGTCGAGGATGAGGATGTTATTGAGCTGGCCGTTGCGCTCGCTTCTTGTTCACTGGAAATTACTGACGTCGAGACGACTGAGGTCGTTCCGGCGACATCCAGCAATGGAAATATGCCGCAAGACGTTAGTGGTCATTTGGACTTTCCAAAAACGAGCCCACACGTATTCGGGAAAGAATCTGCGGCGCATGCTGTTGCTACGTCTCATGATGCAGACGTCGAGGGCTTGAAGGCCGTTGTCGATGATTTGGAGTCAGGGGAACAGATTGTTCTACGTCCACGACCACCGCTTCCCCGCCGGATCTACCTCATGACGCCCAAGTTTCGATTTGGTGGGATTGCTGCGTGCGGCCACGAACAGAATCGCAGTCCTGCTCAAGATACTCGAGGCCTCACTAACAGGGGTCATGCATCCACGAGTGAAACCCAGTCATTTACCAACGAGGTTCCTCTTTTACTTGGCCGCAGGACTTCATACTCCCCCCAACCGGTCTGCGAACACAGTTTATGTTGTCAACTGATCCAACTGCCCATTACGAGCGAACGATCACTCGTGTCGCCAGAGCTGCCCTTGCACACACCTTCCCTACACAGAGAACTTGCTCCTGTCGCGCCTGTTTTGGCATCTGCTACGTGCTTTGTTTTGCCATCTTTTCCCACCTCGCATATTCCGCTGTACACCACCCGTGTGCTTCCTTCAAGACATACGGAACCCGTCCGATTTTCGCCGTACGCGTTCGCGCGAAAGATACGGCTTGTTGTCCAGGTGGAGAGTTCTAATGAAAAGGCCAACGGCAAAGGTGGTGACGGCAAAAAGGGTGTCCACGACGAAGGGGAAGACACGGCGGATGGTAAGGAACGGGTAGATCGGCAGAATATTGGAGATCACGCCTTACCCGTAGCATTGTTCGACACCGTGCTGTTCGTGTTGGCTGTATACACGATACTCCACTTGCTCTGGCGGCTGGCGAGGTGAAAGAGCGAAGATGTGAGAAGTGTGGCGTATTTGTAATTTTGTTTTGTTCGTTACCTCATTGATTTGTTTATCCCAACGACTTAACATTTGTCAAATCCAGCAGTCTGACTGGTGCAGATGGAGGAGTAGGCTACTTTTCCTTGTCAGTGCAAAAACGGCTCTTTTTGTTGCTCAATAACCCGAGGAGGGACTCGAACCCCCAACTTCCACCTAACGGACGGTCGATGCAGCAGACCGGAAAGTGACGTCATAACCATTAGACTACACGGGCTGGCTAGACTTCCGGTAAATAATGCTATGACTTGATTGGACGGCCCGGGTCCTTGTCCCGAACCGACATCATCTCAAAATTTTTCACACTTGATGGGGGGTCGTGCTGGGAGTGAACTTTCAATGGCAATCATTGAAGTGAATGCACTTCATCAATCTCACCTTGTCTGCAAGTTCATCAAGGAAACGCAAATTTCATTTGCTACAACCACTTCATACACGATGGGGGAAAAGCCACTTCATTGTAAGAGTTGTGATGCAGTTGATGGCTTTCTAACCTTGCCTGTCCTTCATACCTGCCTGCATGCTATGAGTTCTTGCATGAGCCCAAATGCAATCCCATACGTGTGAATTTGCTTGCGGAGCTGTACTGGTCTGCATTGACTGACCTGTCATAAAAAACAATATCTGCATATCGAGCATCAACTCATACACACACTGGGATTTGAATCCAGCAAGTACCTGTTCCAAACTCCAACATGCTCAGATGGGCATTATTGCTAAGGAAGTATGTTACCACTGTACTGCGCACCCTTTATGCGGATGTGACCTGGCACAATAATGCGAAGATGTGTTTTTCAGACTTGTTGGCTGTGCTAATGCATTTTCGAAGAGCCACAAAGTGCAAGGGTCATGACTGTCGATGTCTGTGACGAACTGGTCATCGTCGCTGAAGCACAATAGCCATTGCCATGCGCCATCACAAGGAGCAGCAATTCAATTTGGGCTCATTCGCGCGCCGCACTGGTTGTGTTGTCATCTCAACGAAGTATTCCAACACGTAACGCTGACATAAACCGCCATACTGAGATTCCAAGGGGCGCAGCTTAACATATCGGACTCAGACAAGGCGCAGCATAATAGCGAGAAAACCTAATATCAGAGGCGCCATTGTCATAAGAAAGTGACGCGTCTGAGTTGTCTCTGCTCCTGCCGATGATCAATTAGATTTGAAGACATAGAAAAACTTGATGGACGAACGGAGAAGTCCAGAAACGGGTAAAGGTAAATCCTCACACAATGTAACTATGTCTATGTGTAAAAAGAGCGGCAGCATTTTTCAGCGTGATTATATACAAGCCGGTCAGTAAATGCCCGAAGCAAAAAAGGAGATAACGGGAAACAATACGTGAACGGATACCAAGAATGGGGGAAGGGACAATATGTAAGTGTGGGTATGCGCAGGGATGTCGTAAAGAACGGAGGAAATCAAGTGTCTATGGGGTAAAGAATTATGTACAGAACAAGAAAAAAAGCATATAATACAGCTCAGGAGGCCATGAGACAGGCAAGGGACATGCCATGAAAAAGGACACAGGAAAAGCACATCAATAAACATATTGGAGATGAGGCACGTGAAGAGACGGGCTACGCCAAGTTGCGGGCGATCGCAGCGTTTAACATAGAGATACAATGCTATCTCCCAACAGAGCGGCACTGGGCATTACCGGAACTTAACTCACAACCCACGTACGGACTGCTTTACAGCCCCCTATGTCCGGATGAAGCAAAACGGCAGCAAGCCAGTATTGCAGCTCTCGTCTTCTCCGTGCCAGGAAAGGCGCATGAAAGCGCGACAAAGGGGCCTTCGGTGGTAGCGTTGGAATATAATGTATCATATGTGTCTGTAAACGCGATGTTATCATTTCTGCAGGCCATCCCGGGACAGTGAACTTGGTGAATCTGTACGCACGGGCAAGCTCCGCTTCAAAGCGTGGTCGAGGGCTTCGAACTCTGAGTATCGCTTGTGAACGTGAATGTCTGTGCCTTCTTTCGTCTTAATAACACAGTCGTACACTTGTACATGAAAACACACAATTGAAAAAAGAAGGGGACGCGACAGTAAATGCTCACCCACGTACGCGCCACCCTTGTCGCCGACGCTTGTCCATCCAGCTATCTGCACATCGCGCGCAAAGGCAGTGCTTTCACCAGAATGGTCGTCCAAAATGATATCCTTGGAAAATATGGACGGTGGGCCCATGCTGTACGATGGCGATGGCGGACGGTAGCGAACGGTGCCAGCGTCATCGTCCTGATTGAATGTCAGGACGGGTATATTGAAAACAGAGGGGAAGATACAAAGAGACGCACATGACACAATTCTTCGTACAACCGGATCTCCTCCTCAATGTCTATGTGGTCGTCATGGATGACCTGGATATGGTTCTTGCTATTTGCCCACGGGTGGACTGCGGAGCTGCCGGACGAGGAAATTCTGAGAGGTTGTGCAACGAATTGGGAAGTTGAAGGCGTGATAGGGGACGAGGGTGCAGAGGACGAAGGTGTGGATGGCGGCGAGTCCGAGTGCATAGCCATGGCAGGGAGATCGAAGAAAATATGGGTCAATTGGGATTTGCCGCGTCGATTCACCGTCGCGGGCCTTGGAATCACCGATCAATGACTCAGATGAGGCACTGGATGACTCAGCAAATTCACATTCTTAAAACTGACTAAACATGAGGCAGACAACTTGCAATTGAACCTTCAACTCATCCCCCTGGTCGCCATGTCGAAGCATCATCCAGGTAGGAAAATCCACTCACTCTCCTGTCTTCTTTTCTAACTCTCTCACCTTAGATTTGATCATGTGTCGTCGACAGCCGGGCATCGGTACGCACTTTCCTTGGAAATTTCTGAGCTTTGAGGTTTAACAGCAGCATCACCAATTAGCCATCGGCCGCCTGTGTGAGAAGTGTGATGGAAAATGGTCGGTTTTTAAATGCAATCTTGGATTTGTTCTTTGCGATTGACCTTCAATATGTAGTCCCGTATGTGATTCATACGTCCGACCAGAAACACTCGTGCGAATCTGTGACGAGTGCAACTTCGGCACATATGGTGGTCGATGTATCATCTGCGGTGCTCCAGGTGTGTTTCCTGTTGTTCCTCTTTATCCATAGCTTAACACGACCCTCCGCACATTTGCTCAGGTATCTCGGACGCCTACTATTGCGCAGAATGTACACGATTAGAGAAGGATCGCGACGGATGTCCCAAGATCGTGAATTTGGGCGCAAGTCGGACAGACCTGTTCTATGAGAGGCGGCGTTTGGGTGCGGTCATCTTCAGCTCTGTGTAAAACGGTAACCGCTGACTTGCCTTCACAGGTTTCAAGAAAGGTTGATTCCGTCACTGAACGTACACTTCGTTATTTGTCTTCCTTCCATGTATGCTACCTTAACAATCTATCGTCGACCGCCAGTCGGTGCTTCAACTTGAAAGCCATGTCCGCTTGTCGAGCTAAATGAGTCTACCAATGTAACAAAACAGGCATCCAGCTGAACTGCGATACTAAGTAGATTATCTTCCACTAGTCTTTTTGTCCTTGACGTTCTTCCGGGCTTCAAGGGATTGTACTGACTTCTCAACAGGGAGAGTTTAGGATCACCCGCAGATACACGTCAGTTGCGCGTGCTTCCAACACGGGCAGAAGAGTGATTGGTGCGAAGGTTTCGTCGATATCTCTCAACACGCTCAACACGTGAAGATTGTTGTATCTAGCCAAACACCCTAAATCCATCCAAGATAGCATCAGGCTGTGCTGCAGAGGGCGCCTCTCTCGCTGTTTGTTCGTATCCTCTTCCAAGTAACGACGCGAACAGCTCATCTATTTGCTCTTCGTGCCACCCACCCACGATCGGCACGGGGACCATGAAATTTTGGATTTTCTCGTGTACTTGATACCTGAAAAAGCGAGCGTGTTAGTTCGTATACATGAACTCACCAGGTCAGCACTCTCAAGGCGATAGTACGAAGGTAAGGGAACATGTGGTTGAATGGAATAAAGACGTTGCATACTCACCGAACTTTGCGACCCTTGCTGGCCTTCGTATCGACCTTTTTCTTCGTTTTTCGCTGCTTCTGAGCTATTCGCCAGTCCTGGTCTCCCTCCGCGTCGCCACTACCGCGCGCATCAATTACGGCGCGCAGGAGCTGCTGGTAAAAGTCCGTGTCATCGAATATCTCGTCCGTATTGCGGTCATCTTCTGCGCCCGCATCGCCTGCCTCTCCATTTGCCGCAAGCCCACGCAACACCTGCGTGCGTGCGAGGAGCTTGGCATGGTCTGCGAGCGTCTCGTCGATCAGCTGCACGGCCGACTTGATGTGCTGTCCCTTGAAAGAGAACGCGTTGCGGTTCGTCGGGAGTAGCACGGATGGAGCGACAGCCTGAATTTTGGCAGACCACTTGTTCAGCGTGCGTACAATGTGTGGATGTAGCGCGTGCTCGTACGCGGATGCGGTCGCAGTCGCTTCTTCGAGTTCCTGTGCGTACCCAGACACAGACACGCTGCTTATCGACGTTGATGTGTCGAGTTTGCGCCGCTTGCGTGGAGGAAGTTCGATAATCTCGTCGAGGCTTACGAGATCCTGCGGTGCAGCGGTGAGCGACTGTCGTGAATTCAATGGAGAGAAGGCAGGGTGCAAAAGTGCGCGAGATAGGATCAACAAAAGATAGTGAAGGAACGAACCTCTTGCAGAGCAAAGAGCTCGTCAGATAGTGCAAGCGATTCGTCAAGCATTGCACGAAGCGCAGTTTGGCACTCGGGTGACTCGTTAAACTCGGGCGAGTCAACGAGTTTGCACCCACGCACTGACTGGCATGCTGTGACAGATTTTTGCAGTCGGATACGGCAGTCCATGAGAGAATCCCAGAGGACCTATCAGTGGCGGTGATCGTAGCGAGCAATAGTTGAGCTCCTATAAGAGAAAAAGAAAAAAATGAGAAACGACGCACTATTTGTCGCGAGACCGCCTTTCCCTTCTTTCTGTCCTCACTACGTGTCTGTCTGAGCGCTCCGGCCAGGTCCTCGTTCTTCCCGGAGGTGTGCTCGTCATGTTCCGACTCATGTTCATCACCATCATCTTTTGGTTCGTCACGGAGTCCTTCATACTCAGATTCGCTGGATGGTACATCTAGATCACCATCTTGTGCGTCCACGCCGCCGTCCGAACTTCCGGCCTCGTGAACAGCCTCATCTTTAACATCTTCAACATCCT